ATGATGATAATTAAGAAAATATCTTCCATCAAAATAATCTTCTTAAAAATTTTACTAGAACTTCTTTTCAATCGATTGATAACTATAATCATAATATAATTAAATATACACTATATTTTATATAATTAGATAGGATCGAAGCTCGTAACTGAACTCTGAGCATACTTGTTCATCGGTGTGGGGTGAGTACCAAGGTGCCCGGTGGCATTGCAAAGGATTGGAACATCTTGCATGGATGAATGTATCGAATGAGCAACAGTAACATATAAAGATGCCCTGCCATAATTTGACGTAATTATCATCGAATCGAATTTATGGAGCCAACATCTTCTGCAAGAATAGTTTAAATTAAACTTGGTCGGTTTAAATATGAAATTGAACCGAATCGATCTGATGATACGTCGATTCAAAATGAAACTGGAATCAGCTTTGGATAGTTTGGTTTAGTGAATCGATCTGATGATATGTCGATTCAAAATGAAACTGGAATCAGATAGTTTGGTTTTGATTTTTGGTTTTTGAGAATCAGAATCGGTGGTTGCACTTCTAATTCCATTCCAACCGATGCCTTCTAGATTTTAGAATAGAAAAAAAATAAAAAAATAATAATCAAAACCTCTTTGATCGATTCTTTGAAGACTATTTGAGCGTTTAACAGTCGAGACCTGCAGGGGGCAAATGATAAGCTAATTTCAGGAGGTTTTGATTTTTTTTTTGTAATTAAAAACTTAAGAATGACATTATCATATAACCAGTTTTCAAAGTGACATTACAATCAATACTTACAAATAAAATTATGATTTTTTTATTAATTTTTAATTAAAAATAAATGTAAAATCAATGATTTAAGACTAGTTTGGATGAAGAAATCTGTTAGGATAAAATTTTTGAGCAAAAGATAAAACAAAAAATAAATTGTTGGACATTTCAAGATTAACATAATCTGAATGAGAATATTTCATGCAAATTGTTATGATATTATTTTATTTTTTATTTTGCCATATGTTATGGTGAAGATGGTGCTATAACATTGTTTCCTCCTTAAAGACCTATCCTTATAGTCGTGTGTACATCATTAATTAATACGTATTTGGGTAAATAAACTCTCAAATATATATTTGTCACGAAACCCAACTCTAAGAACGTGAAGAGATGCTGTTCGCTGCGCTTATCATATTGATTTAAGTGTTTGTGAGCTAACGCATGCTCACGACCTTTGTTTGAGAGAGAGAGAGAGAGAGAGAGAGAGAGAGAGAGAGAGAGAGAGAGAGAGAGAAAAGCAACTAGCATACGAGGAAATTAGAGACAGGATACTGCATTTTTATTCCTCTTGTTTTCTCTCAAGGCATGAAGAAGGTGGGTGACATCTTGATGTTCTCCTAGGAACGAGTATAATATGGCACCATCCGTTGGCCTCCTCCCCGAAACTCATTTGCGGGACTTCTCTTTCGTTCGTTTTCTTCTTACACAATGCGTGATGATCTATTTCGAGTGCTCCCAGTTCATATTTTTGTGTGTTCCCAGCCTCGAGGGAAAGCTATTTTGGATAATATTTTAGTTTATCCTGGCTATATTTTTCCACAAGCTACTAATCTGGTAGTGTACTAATTTTATATGGAAGAAATGAAGATGGAGTCTATAAGAAACGCCGACCGATCTTTCTTTAACCATAGATCACATCTAGGTATTAAAATAAGAGGCATCTTCTCGATGCACGGTGAGAATATTGACGTGGGGGTACTTTGACTCGATCGTATCTTTCAATGCACATTGGGCATGCCACAACTTCGTGGACAAAACGGATTGGCCACATCCTATTCAACCTTGTGAGGACCAACGAAGATACAATTTTTTTTCTTTTTTTTAGTCTCACTTTGAATAGTTTTACAAAATAGAAAACTTGTTGCTTGAAATTTCTTTTTGAAGCCAATATCTTATGAGGATAACGAATGAATCCTCATGAAAGATGTTAACCTTGAGAATTAAGCTTTAATTATTTAATAAATATTTGATTTTTTTTTGTTTTAAAGTAAGATATAAGAATTTTAAAAGTATTAAATGTTATGTTTTGAGAGAGTATTAAATGAGAATGAAGATGACATAGCAATCTTATAGTTGATCTCTTACGGTAAAAAAATTTATTTTATCTATAAATATTGATAGAGAATCTACCGTGGTTGTTATGTGGCATCCAAGTCATCATCATCCATGTATATATATGTATAAAGATTTAGACAGAGAAATATAAACTTTCATCTCGTTTATTATGATAAAAAAATATAATTATAAGCTTTTTTATCTTCTTTTATGATAAAAAAATAATCATAAACTCTCTTTTCTTCTTTTATGATAAGAAAGATCATTATAAAAATACATCTTAAACTAGCAAATAAGACGATTACTCTTTCTTTTTTTAAACTACTCAAGCTTACGTTTGGAAAACTCGAATTACTAACTTAAGCGTTAGAGGGATCGGATTGGGAAACCTCTCTCGACCCTAGTCTTCATGCCAGTGACACCTCAAGAGCATAATACTTTTACCTCGAATACACCTTGGATATTATTTCATACATGAGTCTACACCGTATCAAGTTATCAATAATATTTTTCATGATAGATATAAATGAAAAGTGTGTTAGTCTTACATTAACTTTTTAGTATATTTTTTTTATAATTAAATTTTTTGATATCTTTAGCTTCCGGTTGTTCTCTCCCTCCTTCCAATAAAATGATAGTTTTCAGCATTATTGGGGAATGCTTTTTAGCATAAAAGCCAAACCAAATTGCAGGATAAAGTGGAAGCCTCCTTCCATGGGAATCAGGAAACAAATTCCAGAACAATCTAGGGAATAAATTCCAGAACAAGGCAGTGTTAGAATCAGAGGGGGAAAAAAATAGGAGAAATAATTGAAGTTGATAGCAAGAGTTAAAAGGATGTTGGAAGAGGTCGGTAGGGCTCACATGCACCTAACCAGCAACAACAAATGGACAAATATCTCGTGGCTATAAATGATGTGGAGAGAGATATAGAAACTGTGTAGGGTAGGGTTCATAGCAACAACGGGCAGCCAAGAGACCACTTGGATGTTTTTGCTCCACCATATACAAGGATAGATATGAGGTGGTCACACCCACCGAGAAGACATTGGACCCGACGACACCACCACATTGCAAGCTGGTCATAAATGTCCATTAACGACTTAGCAAAGACACCATGAAAGCTGGGCCACTAATTGGTGTTTGTGCTTCCATCACCGACTGCTCTCGTAGAAGCACTTTCGAATCACGAGTCTGCAAGATAAATCACAAGGGGAGGGGGGTGGTGAACAGCTACCCTAATAAACTTAAGGGTTGAATCCATGTCTCCTCCCGAGTCTTGCTTGCACTTGCCAACGCTACGTAACGAGAAGTTGTCATCAGCTCACGTGATCACTCTATCGTTGTTTCCTGCATGCATGCTCTCTGGTTTGGCTGAGTTCTCTCTGACGGAGGTCGCTCGCTCACAGTTGTTGCTGAGATTATTGGGTCAAATATATAGAGTTTGCAGCAGTAAAAACAGAAGCAGTATCGACTTCAATGGTGACCGGAGTGGACCCGTCAACGTGTCGGCCACAAGGAGGCGAACTCTCTCTCTCTCTCTCTCTCTCTCTCTCTCTCTCTCTCTCTCTCTCCCTTCGATTCATCCTGCGAGCTTCGTGTGAGGGAGACCGTAAGAGTTATTCTTCTCGTCGATGGTGGCCTCGGTCAGGGTCGATTCCGGAGGTCTTTCATGGATTAATGAGGAGAGGGTAAGCGTTGCCGAGAGAGTCGAATGAGTGGACGGGGAGTTACCAGCAAAAGTAAAAGAGAGTGCCTAATCTATTCGCTGCCAAAGTTGCATAGTGGGAGAGCATAACTATATGTAGCGGTGGAATGATACGTCCCTGTCATGCCTCGCTGTTGGATTCCCTTATCGGATGAGAGATGCCGCATGCATGATTGATGGAGACGGACCCCCCACCCCCGGAGGAGGGCTTAGGTTGGGTCCATGGGGAGCACAGCTCGATACCAACGTTTCCTCTCCCTCCTCCATCAAAGCCTCCATTATGGCTGCGTTGAGGACGCCCTACCGCCCCCCCCCCCACCCTCTCCCTCCATCAAAGCTACTGTGTTTAAGGACGCTCTGATGTGATGCCACCGATGGATCGGCCCATCGTTGGTGTCGTGCCTGTTGCAAGGAGTGGGCAAACAGAGGGGGCTCACCGCTGGTGGAATCTTCTTCCTCCTCTGTATCTTCAACATTCTCAAAACATAATTACCATCTTTCACTGAGCTGGGAGCATCCAAGAGCTGCAGGAACGGTGAGCTTTGGGCTACATCATCTTAGCCTCGACTCGTCACTTCAACCGACCCATGCTTCCCGGATTCCAGCACTCCACTTCTCCCAGGAACCCTAACGCTACGCATCAACCTAGAACGCCTATGATTTCTCTTCTTTTGCCTTAACCTCGATCGAGAACAAAAGGGGGGACAAAAAGTCCACAGAGGCTATTAATATTGTGTAGGGGGCGGTAGGGCGGAATGCATGCATGGCTGATGGCTTCCATGGATGTCAAAGACAAAAGGAGGAGGGTCTTTTTACGTTGTTGACGGCAGCATGTATGTATGAATCGAGTCGTAATAAGACGTTTCCACGTATGAGGAAAGAGAAATGCTTTTGTCATTGTCGTCCATAAGTTTGACCAAGTTCTGCCGGAAGAGGAAGAGGAGGAGGAGGAGCTCAGAGACAAAAACCCTGGTGGCCATACACAGCACGCCCAAACGTACGTGTAGCCTTGAAGTTGGTTTTGGTGAGATGAGCTTGCCGGTTTCCTTTGAATCTAACAATAATCTAATCTTAATCTACAAAGATATACTGACATAACTAAACTGAGCACAATTCAGTGAGAGGAATTTGGATCGCATGTTCATCACCATATAAGAAAATGATGTCACACAATGCATACGATTTTGATTCTCTCTCTCTCTCTCTCATCCAATAATTTGATTTCAATTCTCCAACAAAAGAAACACAGCCTGGGCTTACTCCCAACCATAAGAACCATGCTCTGCTTTCGCTTTCTTCCAACTTCCCATCCTTAAGATGCTTGCTTTCCTGCTCCCACTCTCCCACTCTCTCTCCCTCGGCTTCCACTCTCATGAACCCACCTCCTCGGTCGTATAGTGGGCTCGGGCGGTGGTGGAGGAGATGGACTTCGGTGAGGTGGTGAGCATGGATGGGTTGGTGGGCGCCTCCTCTTCCGAGGGCGGTAACCTCTTCTCTTCTTCCCTGACCTCCCAAGACACCCAAGTCAGCAGGCAAAGAGGATTCTTTGGATCCATTTTCCACAAGCATGACAGGCCTGCTGAACCTGAGGACTGCGACTGGAGATCCCTCAAGATGGCCAGGACCGAAGCATTGGTGGCGGCACCAACAAAGACACCTCATTTCCTCAGATCCGACTCCCATCACCTCTTTCCTGACGGAGAACATATGCTCAGCTTCTCGTCCACGTCCAAGCAGAGTGACATGGCTGTCTCTGGTGATGCGACCTTGCCTTACCACATCCGCCCGTCGGCGCCTTCTCCAACGGGGTGTTATCTCAGGAATGCAGGTAACACGCACTACATACTTGCTGGATCAGACGTATTGATGGCGCTATTAAGTCTCTCTGGCGGGTGGTGGATGTTTGGTTGACGGTGGTTTTCTTTTGGGGGTTTTGTTTCTGGTCTCTCAGAACAAGCAGGGGGTTCGGGAAGTAGCAGATTTTGATTCTTTTTCGTAGAATTTTTGGTCCTTTTTTCAGTCTTTTCAAGGAAAGAAAAGAAAAAAAAAAAAAAACAGAGTTGGCTTCTCCTTTCTTTTGGGTTATTGTCTTCCGAGGACTTGTTTTCGGAGCTTAAGTTCTTTCTGTCTTCTCGTGAGAGAAAGTGGTAAGGGACACAGCAATCAATCCAAGAGAGAAAAAGTAGTAGAATGATCCATCCATCCATCCCTTAATATTCCCTGATCTCGTGTGATGTTTTTTCCTCGAGGAAAATGATAAGATATGGGGAAAAAGATGGCGTCTTCGATCTTTTTGCAGTTTGATGTGCTTCCTCAAATGCTGCAGGCAAGGCATGGGAGCTGTGATTCATCTGCCAGGTCCCCTCGGGGGACTTCGCGGTTGTCTAATATGTTCATCTTCTTCTCCTTGTCTTCCCCCTGCATCTAACGTGGTTCGAGTTCGGGCTCGTCTTTCACCTCACATTCGTTCCCCACCTTTTCCTTTCTTCTGTTGCAGGCTTGTTTTCCGCAACCTCTCATGCGAGCATGCAAGGGGTTCTTGCGAGGGTTAGGGGACCCTTCACTCCATCTCAGTGGCTGGAGCTGGAACACCAGGCCTTGATCTACAAGTACCTTGTTGTGAATGTCCCCATACCGGCCACTCTGCTCGTTCCTATCAGAAGAAGCCTCAACGCGTCTGGGTTCCCTTCCTTGTCTTCTGGATCTTTTGATTCAGGTACTCCTTGGTCTTTCACCTCCTGTATCCAAGAAATATCTGTTGGCATAAGGGAGCCATGCATGCTTGCTTCTTAGTGAGGTGGTTAGTGTTTGCAGATTCTCAAGAAAGATTCATCGTTTGGGCAGTATAGATCTTCTTCATTAGCATTCTGACATCTTTTTTTGAAGCATAAGCTGAAGTTGCTAGTTTTCTGGAGATTTGCACAATCTTTCTTAGCAGAACCTTTGAATGCTTATCCAAATGCATGCTAGATCTGCCAGTGTGCATCTGGAAATATAACTCCACGGTTATATTCGCTAGAATTTATACACTAGTTGTGCTCTTTCCTGACGGATTAATCTTTTGGAAATAGTGCTAACTCAACTAAAGTTTTATCACCTTCATGTCTTTTCCTTTGTAAATATGGTGATACTAATAAAGTTTTGCTCTATAAAAAGGAATGGTCAAATCCTAAATGATACATACACTTCATGACCTTCTGCCTTCTTGATTATTTTGGGTTCTGAAAGATCTCATTTCAAAAACATAAAAGACTATATTATTGCTGCTAAACTCTTTGGTTTTAGCAGTTGGATGGGGACAATTCCATGTGGGATTTTCTGGAAATGCTGATCCAGAGCCTGGTAGATGCCGTCGGACTGATGGGAAGAAATGGCGGTGCTCGAGGGATGCAGTTGCTGACCAGAAGTACTGTGAACGACACATGAACCGAGGCCGCCATCGTTCAAGAAAGCATGTGGAAGGCCACACTGGCCATGCCGCGAAAGCGATGCCTGCCATCGCATCTTCACAGTCAGCTTCAGCTGTTCCTGATGGCACTTTGTCTGCTAGCCTCACCATTTCACAGCATGAGAACAAAAAATTACAGTCAAACATCACTGATCCTCACCCTGTGCAGCTCAATGGGTAGGAAACAACTAATTATTGATCTTTTTTTCCTCAATAAATTAGATGGTTTTAACACTTACAGCTTATTTTGCTGTCATGACGAAGATGCTGATAGGGTTAGTGGGTTAATGAGTATAAGGAGCCAAGAAATCACTGATCCATGGTTTTATTCTTGATTTGTATTCAATTCATATTTCATTTAAGCTATTGCAAACAACAACATTTGATAAGTTTAAAATTGCTAGTTAGTGCTGATTCACTGCATTTTTAACAATGAAAATAGTGCTGGATTCACCAGCTTGCACTAAATGTTTGTCATTGTTGAACCAGAATTACACATGCAAATGTATGAGAAATTTTAACTTCGACACAAAATTGGACCAATCAAATCATGTTGTGTTTTCGCATAAGCTTGCATCTGTAATATCTTCAAAGTGTTTCTCATTGCTCTCATGCCGTGGGATATCACCAGTGCCGGTCACCTTTTTATACATCAGATCAAGAATAAACTACATTTATGATGATACTTTTAGAGTTTGACATTTCTTAATTTTTTATACTGGAGATTAGTGGATTCTCAAGTCATTTGGTAAAAGATGTGCCATTCCAACCAGATCCTTGTGTAACACTGATCTATGTTCTGCAGGGTGCTGATGAGCAAAGAAGATCGAAATGATTGTTTGCGGAATTTGAAGGGCTTGTCTATGCTGAACCCTGCAAACCAGAATTCCCTTAATAACTCGTTCTCTCTCTCAAAGCAACACAATCCCTTCGGGGAGACCTCCTCGAGAACAGACTTTGGGCTCATTTCTGCTGATTCACTTTTGAATCCCTCAGTTAGTTCATTCTCTGACAACATCGGTTTAATACCGAACACAAAGCTTAATGACCAGCAGTCCAATTCCCATGCCTTCCGACACTTCATTGATGTCTGTCCCAAATCCCAATCTGATCACTCAACTGTTACCTGGCCTGAGATAGAAGAAACACAATCTGATAGAACCCAGCTCTCTATCTCAATCCCCATGTCTTGTTCTGACTTCTCATCTTCCTCCTCATCTAACCATGACAAACTGGCACTTTCACCTCTCAAGTTATCCAGGGAACATGATCCGATCCCCATGGGTCTTGGAGTAGGACTGCTGAATGAAGTGTGCCATCGACAGGCTAGTTGGAGACCAATCTCCTGGGAGGCCTCCATGGCTGGACCTCTAGGGGAGGTTCTGACGAGCACCAACAGCAGCACTCCCAAGGACCAAAGCAAGAACTGCTCATCATCTCTAAACTTACTGTGTGACAATTGGGATTCAAGCCGTCAGTTGGAATCCTCGCCGACAGGTGTCTTACAGAAAGCTTCGTTTGGTTCACTGTCGAGCAGCAATGGCAGTAGCCCCAGGGTGGAGAACCTCAAAATTCATGAGAGCACCGGCAAACTGTGCAACGAACTCCTTGGTTCGGCTGTTGTAAACACCCCCACCATCCCCTCACTGTGACCATTCGAGAGGTCTGCAAAGAGAAGTGTCAGCATCAGAGAGAAAGAAAATGAGATGATCCCTGTTGGCAACTAGTGGTAATTCTGCTAATCAAGGACTAGGAACCATCGAGTTGTAGTTTTCTAGCGGTGTTGTTTATTTGTTCTTTTGTTTCTGTACCATGTCCTAAATCCAGAAACAGCTATGTATGACTTCATACTGTTGCCTCTTAAGAACAGATGCTAAGCTTAAAATGCCTGGTGTTTGCTCTCTTGCTGGATCCTTCATTTACTTGGGGAACTATATTCCCTGCAATGCTGGTCACGATACTTGGGAATGCATTCTTACATTTTTTTCGAGTTCATCGGTGCAACTTCTTCTGTTATGGAAGTGGGATAGTTTTCAGAGGAACAGGAACCAAAAGTCTGAGAACTGACATTAATCTCATTTGTCAGAAGTAAACCTGAAAGACTAGGTGTTGGAAGTTCTTCCTATGTAAAACCATTGTGGTTTGTTTGCCTGGATTCATCACCATTGAGCTTGCAGCAGTGTTTTGCTAGGCTTCACACCATGATTTGAAGATCCAGGCTTGTTCAGAAACAAAAGACAACTAAAGAGTATCATGATTTTTTGTTTATCTCCGGTCATATATCTGAATTGTCCTATGCTTCAATCATACACTTGAAACAAGTTTTGGTTTCTCATCCACAAATTTGTGAGCAGCTCAGATATCAATTTCTCTCAACAGTAGTTTACAGAAAAAAAAAAAAAAAAAACAGTTCAGGTGCATTGCTCCATCGGAGGCAGAAATTTAAGGGCCCCTTGTGTTTTGATCTAAAAACCAAACGCATGGTGTGACAAGCTAACACATCCTAAAGTCTCTAAAAGTTCCTCTGGTTGCCATGAAAACCACTGCTTGAGCAAGTTGATGCACTTCATTTATCTATGCATTCTTGGAATTTATGATAAGTGGGTTGACATTAAAACTGTGTCTCTCGAATGGGTACCAAGTTTTGTAGCTGGCAAAATCTTGTTCATCAGTTTCATCTTAAAACCTGTACCAAGATGACTTATGATAGGTATTTGACAACATGAACTTGATGCTTATATACAAGTATAAATTCTCCAATGGCCATTTCTGCACTGCCCTGACTTGTTTAAAGCATTTTACTGCAGTACCTTTAGGTTCTATGATTCTTCCATCGACTTATTAAACACACTAAAGTAGCAGTACATATGTGTGACTTATCAAATGAATCAAGGCTTGTTTATGTCTCGGACAAACTTTCAAACAGGATGTTTGATGTAATGCTTATGTATGTCCGTATCTTTTGGTATGTTCATGCTCTATACAACATGTAGAGGGACTGTCGAAAGCTTAATAGTCCCATTTTAGTTAGGTTGGTGGCCGCTTTAGGCTTGTAAATAAAGGTTGTATCATGTAGATACGTACGAGAGATTTTCGGTCTGTAATGGATAATTTTACCCTTTGTTGTGCAATTGTTCAGAGCTTGTAAAGTCTGTTTGTAATTTGCATTGTCTATGAAGTGTTTTCGGAGATGTTTGCTTGTGGATCCCGAGTGAGACGTTTTCTCTATCCTGTTCTCTCTTTTGTGGGTCATAAGGGACCATGGGAGGCTTCGGGGTGGCTGATCTTTGCGGACGGACACACAAGGGTGCCGCACGACTTAGGCAAAACCAGCTAAGTCCATGACATTTAAGTTTTATGATTCTTCCATCAACTTATTAAACACACTGAAGTAGCAGTACATATTACTAGCGTGTGACTTATCAAATGAATCAAGGCTTGCTTATGTAGTTCATAATGCAAAATAGTTGGATACTGTTCCCAGGTTTCATGCCATTTATGCCTATCAATTACATTACTAATGTTGCACATGGTTTTGTAGGGCACTGACAACAACAACATACCTATAAGACCCTATAATTCATGTTTTGCTGTCCATTCAGTAAATGGTGGATTGTGATTGCCAAAGGCTTTTATGTTTGCCACAGAAATAGACAACTGCGATGTGCAGTTTCTTTCAAGCAGCAATGCAGCAGAAGAGTGTTTCTGTGAGCAAGTGATGCACAGGTGAGAAGCATCCATCAACTCTATTTTAAACATACAGGTATCAAGTGCTGTTCAGATCATTCAACTTATTCTAACATCAATCGAGCATCATCACCACAATAGAAAATTAAAAGGCTGCAGCAACATGCTTACTGAACATTTGTTTTGTTCCTCTATGTAGTCATGGTGGTTGAGTCTTCAATGATGGGGTGAAAAAACTAGTACAGATATGACTCAAGCAATCTCAATTGATGAGTCTTAAGAGGATTCTGTGGTCCATTTTCTCTGAAACCAGCGAGGAAGAACTCCATGTCAATTCACAAGAGATAAAAGGAGGCTCCTGAATCTACTGAACTGATGTGTACCATACTGCTACAGTGATGATGAACTCCACTGAGATGTACAATGAGAGCCTATAATATCTAGAATTGTTTCTTCTTTGATATCTTCGAAGAGGGCAGCTCCTATGTCGATTGCAATCTCCCTCATCTGAAGCTGGAATCGACTCCACTCACTCCTGGAGCTTGCTAGCTCTGAGACTGTCAGCTCTCTTATGGTAGAGAGAGCTTTTTGCTTCAACAACGGAGGAATCTCATGATTGAAACATTCATGGGAATCCAAAAGCTTGTCCGATTGATCCAGCTGCCACTTTGATCCGATGAGTTCATAGAAGGCTGGGGTATAAGCTACCTCAAGCAGCTCGTTGAAGATGTCAAGAACTTTGGCTGGCAAATCCAAACCCACGGTTGACATCTTCCCTTGTACATCTGAAGCAAGGAAAGAACCAACAACATGATGTCCTGCATCACCAATAAGTAGAGGGAGGAGGAGGAAGAATGCCGAGAACTTACGTCGAACATGATCGACTGGTCGGCCACAACGCAGCTCGAGAGTCGAGACGAGACTGCGTCGTTTCGAGTCTACCCTCAAATGATTCCGCGCAATTCTTTCCCAATTCAGAGAGTTCTTCTCATCCGCTCCGCAGAGCGTCTTCTTCATCATGTCTCTACAAGTTCTCAGATGACGGCATGTCAGCTTCTGCAGACTCGTGCATGTACTCCCACCAGGCCAACAGGTAATGCTTGCAGACCGGGATGCAAGAATCCTATCCGAGTGCCCTTTCTCGAGAAGGTAAACATCCAAGTGGAAAGGCTCTTGTTGCTCTTGCAGCAGCTCGAGAAGGCGTCGTCCATGAACAGCAGGCGATTCAGAAAGACATGCCATTGGTTCTCCCGCTTTGAGGCTCTGAAGGAGAGTAGAACGAAGGAAGTTTCTGAAGGGGAGAAGAGTCGAGGAACAGGACAGGATGAGGAGTTATATGCACTTCCAAAGAATCTCTTCGCCCAGATGTTGGTCGAGACATTGCCATCGATCGTAATGGCGACGGAGGAGCGAATCTGTAGGCAGCATGCAAGTGTTTGTTTCTTGGTGGGCAGAGTCTGATGTCTTGTCACGCTTTCTAGCTTTTCAGCAACCACCACCAATACCCAGTGAACTCTTCCACTGTTCAAAGGTATATATATATATATAT